TTGTATTATATTAAATATAATAATAAATATATATTATATTATAGTATAATATAATATAGTCGTAATTTTTAACTATCCACAACAATTAAATCTCACAATTTACCAAACACTATTACACTAATTTTAGAATCAGCACAACTACTATAATTATAGTTTACTAAACACTCAACTGTTTTTTGTAACAGCTACTTCTTCTTTCAGCACAATTAAAAGTAATTTTTCCAAAATCTACAGCACTACCAAACTAGAGGACGTTTGGTTGGAGGATTCAAACCATGTGATTCGAACTATTTTTTATTTACGTGAAATTTTTATGAGAGAAAATACTGTAGCGAACTATGAATCATGATTCGAATCAGGGAACGAATCCCTCTACCAAACATCCTCTAAGTCTTAATCTCAGATTTTCTAAATTAAGCCTCCACATCACTAATCATGGTTTTGGGCATGACAGATTTGGTATAAAAAATATCACTAAGTATGATAAATGACTCCAAGCAATGTAGATTTATTAGAAATTAAAATTTTCATAAATCTTATGTGATCAGATATAGTGAAATTATAAATAATGGTATATATAATGACAATTGAAGTGATAATGGAGAATACAAATTTCATATGTGCCTCTAAAGCAATTCATATAATTAAATTTATTCCATAGTTTAATTAAGAAAAATTTCAAGAATATTCATAAATTGGATGCATAAAGTTAACAAACTTAAGAATAATTCAAATTATGTTATAATCTCTAACTTTAATAATAATTCAAATTATGTTATAATCTTTAAATCGTGTATTATTTGAAGCTTGATTTAATTATCTATTTTATGATAGTCAACATTAGTTTATGTCATCTTATCTATTTAAACAATATTGAAAAAATGTGTCCTTTTAAAATAAGGGAGTTTTTCTAGTAGAACCAGTAAAAATGAACTATCGGTAATTTTCTACTTTTAATCGTTAAATTTATATAAAAACTGTCTATTCTGCATATTTTATTTTTTTAATATAATGTGATTTTATTTATATCCATTGGTTAAAAATTAACTATAAAAATAAGGAGGTTCTTACCCAAAAAAGTATCTTAAAATAAAGGACTAAAATACATTGAGTGTTTGATCTAACATTGGATATAATTTCAAGGACACAAATGTAAAATATAGAAATAAAATATGTAATGATTATGTTTACTTTATAATAAAAAATAAAAAGTGTGATGTGATGTTTACTTTACAAAAATGATAAAAAGGTAAGATGGAATGACTAGAGTGATGTATACTTTACAGAAAAATAAAAAGATTAGATGAAATGATTGACGTGATGTGTTTTTTATAAAAATGTTTAATTTTGAAAAAATTTTTGCATTGTGATTTTTGTAACACTTTGGTCCCGTTCATTACACCGATTCAAGTTTAGAATTTAAGTTTTGCTACAGTAAAAAGCTCTTAGAAACAGTCACATCTAACTTTTTTACTATAGTAAAAAGCTCTCACATAAAGTCACATCTAAACTCGAATTAAAAACTTGAATCAACGAACTAAATGGGCCCTTTGTCTTTTAAATTTTGAAAAGTAACACCTGTTCCTCCCGAATTTTGTTCTATTAACAAGTTTTCTCCTTCTGTTATAATGAGTAACAGAATTGCTATGTGTCACTTATTTAGTGAGAATTGAAAGCGTAATTACGCTTATACCCATATACTCAAATAATTCTCCATTTTTATTGAAAAAATTTACCATCTTCGTTCCCTATTTTTCTTCTTTTTTTTCCTCATTTTGTTCATCGATGTGGGTTGGATCCGATAGTGAAGACATCACACACGAAGAAGAATCTGAGAAGATAATTTTTTGGGTGCATTCGGTATAAGGTAAATCGTTTAACATTAGAAGAAAAAGCTTTTGTATATTTGGGTTGAATCTAGTTCATTTGGGTTTGATTGAGGTTGTGGGTTGAATATGTTTCATTTTATGATTGAATGCAGAATGAAGAGGAGAGAGGTTGTGGGATCTCAATTGTGATATTTGAATATTTTCTCTTGCTTTCTCCGGCAAAAAAAAAAAAGATGCCTTAAGGAACTCTTGAAATTCTTCTTGTCAGTGTCAAGGGTCTTGAGAATGTTGATTTTCTTAATAAGTTTCTTATCACATTCCGTCTTGGATTTATTGTTCTGATCATGTTTTTGATATTGTGTCTTCTGGGTCCTTTTTTTTCCTTGATCTTTATGTTGTTCAAGATCTGAGTTTTTTTCTTTAACGCTTGGAAGGGTTGTAGGTTAATTTACGATAATACCCTCCTCAGATGGGTCACGTGCCAACACGTGACGAAATCCGTCACTTATTGTAACAGAAGGGAAAAACTTGTTAACAGAACAAAGTTCGAGGAACGAATGTTACTTTTTAAAATTTGAAAGGCAAAGTGTTATAAGGGTCATAGTTCGGGGGGACTTTTTGAAATTAATCCTTATAAAAAAGATAAAAAAGTAGAATAAAATAATATAATGTGTTGAAATGTAAAAAAAATTCACCTAAATATAACCATTAACATTAGGTGATATATTTATTTGCTCATAATTTTGATGATTATAAAATAATTTTTAAGGTTGTTATTAAATATTTAACACAACACAATATAAAGTCCTAAACTCTCATTCTCTCCACACTCGTATCTCCAGTTTAATAGTTTGAAGAATAATTTACCCCTTAATTCCCTAAAGTTCCCTTCAATATAATTTGACCAGTCAAAAAAGTTGTCCTAACCTAAATCCTTTATTATATAAAGACCAACAATTTACAGAGATATTAGAGGTGTACTTTTTGGCATTTTCATTTAAAAGCACAAGAATAAGTACAAGCAACAACAAACTTCTCCCTAAAAAGAGAGAAATTCTCTTGTACGCCAGTGTATCAGTAGGTCAAGTTTTTTTAATCGTTAAATCTACATACTTTTTTACTTTTATATGCTTTTATGCAGATGTGATGGATAAAAAACCTGACTTATTGCTCTATTGGCATACCAGAAAAGGTTAAAAAAGGAGTTAGGTGCAAATAATTTCAAAAATTGATGGTGTCCGTTTGCAATTTCATCAAAATCCAAGGGCCAAGGGCAATAACTCTTTCCAACAGCTCTTTCCAAGGGCCAAGAGTCGTTAAAACGACCGCGTTTGAAATTCGTTTTAAAATAATTTTATTTTTTGTATGAAAATGGAAACGTTTTTAATCTCAGACAGAAATTATTTTTAAAAATGCATTTGATAGTTTTATCAAAAGAGTATTTTTAGTGTAAAAAAATACATCAATGTCTCTATTTCTCTCTCTGTTTGAGAGAGAAAAAAATAAAAATAAAAAATAATTTTTTAAATAATTTTTTATTTTTCTCTCATTTTACACTAAATTAAAAAATTATTTTTATTTTTATTTTTTATCTTTATTATACTAAACGTTATTTTAATATATATATATATTTTTTAAAAACGTAAAAAATAAAAACAAGAATCAATTTCAAATACGCAAAAATTCTCACCAAAACACTTGTTGTTACAACAACCGACTCTCTCCACTCCCCAAAAATTAAAACCGCGAGAGGGAGAGAGAGAGAGAGAGAGTGCGAGCGGTGGTTTCTGCCGAAAGCCGATGACCCAGACGACGGCGTCAGCACCGGGAGGACTCAATTCCCTCGCCGGAAACGGCACCGAGCAGCGATTAACGCCGGCAATCGTCAACTCCTTCCGAGTCTCCGGCGCCATGGAGCGCTTGACCACCATTACTGGGCCCGGCCAACTCATCGACCAACGCGAGTTTTACGGTCTCTGCGTCTCGCTTTCCAGGTTCGCATTTCCACATTCTCTCACTCCTTTTCTTGTCTTTTTTTCCTTGTCTCTCTTTATTCTTGCTCTCTCATGATTTATCCTTTTTAGCGGCATTTTGAATTTCATTTCGAGCTCTAATTTGGTACCGAAGTTTTTCTTAGTGTCCATTCTGGAGTGCTTATGACCTAACCTCAGAATACTTGGCGTCTGTATTTTTTTCGCCTATTTTGGTTCTGAATTTAGTTTTGCGCTTTGATTTATCTCTGTAATTTTTAAACTTTTTGTTGTTGTTGTTGTTGTTGTTTTTGTTGTTGTTGTTGTTGTTAACTTCTTGTTGTTGTTGTTCTGGATCGTGTATGACCTAAGCTTTTGATATTGGAACCTGTATGCTTTTGCTGTGCATGTGTAATACTGTACAGTGTACAAGTTTTTGTTCTTTGTTTTTGTTTTTTTCCACATGTTTTGCTAGGTGTGTTATTCTGATTCTTTTAGCCCCAAATTTTATGGCGGTACTTTGTTTTAGATTGGTTAATTTGCTACGTAGGGTTAAAACTTGCTGTTTTTAGCATGATCAGAAATCCCTAATCAGGAGACTGGCTTAGTAGGAAGGCCAATTGAATCTGCTAGATTTGCGTCAGCTTTATTCAATTTGACTAAAATGCAGGATTTGCCCACATATCCAGTCATGCTTGTCCGTTGATATGGCTGTTCCAAGCGTCTTGTGCTGTGGTTTTTATTTATTATTTATTGTTATTATTAACATTTTTGGTAGTTCACAATGATACCGTTAGTGATTTATAGTTTTCTTTTACTTGACTTGGTTTACTTTCACAAATACAGAGGTATTGATTATGCAGTTGCAAACAAGGAAAGACCGACTACGGCTCGTGATTTACCAAAGTTAATGAAACAGGTGATGTCCTATATGATGCAAAAATTTAATTTGGTTTTGTCTGTATTATTACCATATACTGAATGCGGATGAGATTTGCATTGAGGCATGTAATATATGGAACTTAGGAGTATATTTACACGTATGGATAGATGTTCATATTCATGCATGAAGTTTAAGTAGTAAACAGTACGTATTGAACTTCTAAATATCTGTTTATGCATATTATGGTGCATTTAGGTGGTAGCTTATTACGGGGACCTAAGCCTGGGATTCCTAGAAAGTTGAGTAGGTTAATAAGAGTTAGTAATTACATTTGGACGGTACTTTAGCGGAGTTTCACTAAAAGCTAGCTGATAGTTGATACTAGTTTCTATCAGATTGTAACTTACTTTCTTACTTTTTCCTCTTGCCAATATTCGATGGCCATAGTTTGTTTGTGTGAAGAGTTTGTGGCTATATGAATGTATGTGAATACTGCATGTCCTTACCTATCAGCTATTGAATTTTCCTACAGGCTGTTGCCATCCTCTTTTTGAATAATAGTCTTGAGTGTCCATTTGTGCATGCATGTAGTAGGGTGGATAGAAGGCAGAAAGAGCACATCAGGCGTTAAACTTTTCTCCAGAAAAGTAGCAAGTGAATTATATGTAGTTTTACTATGAGCGATAATGATTTTGCATCCAATTTTCCCAATTCGAAATTAATTTAGCAGACCAAATATGGTACATGCCTCTTTGAAACTTACTTTTTGCAAGTCATTATAGCTGTTTAATGGGTACAAATTACAATCCATTTGGTGACTTTAGTCGTTTTGCATATTTTTGTTAACATTATTTGTGAGAAATCGCTGCATAAGATTCTCTCTCTATCTGCATGTTTTTCATCTATGAGCTGTTACCTTAAACAAACCTTTGTTCTCATGTTCTTCTAGATATGTGACCGAGAACTTGACGCCCCCTTACTATGTGCTACCATGGTGCTGTTGATTTCGATGAAGGTAAATGTTAAATGCAGCCGCCTATATATTATGCACTTTTGTTTTACCTTTACCTTTTTTGATGCTAATAAGAAAAGGTCAAACCCTTTTGAAAAGTTTTGTATCTTCAATTATTGCTTGCTGATTATTGGTTAATCTATTGTGAATGTCGGTAAGGATTAGATATACAGGATGATACTAGTTAATCTTAATAACTAGTAGGTATCTTTTAGTATTTACGGATCTATGGGTAACTGGTATCGGTTTTTACTTAGAATGTTTAAAGTTACTATATTTTCGTTTCCGTCAGTTTCAGAATCTTCTCTTTTATGCCTCTAGGAAGTTCTTCATGTTACAAAGTTTTCATATATTTTACATGAGATTTCCTGTTGACTTGTGTTTGTTTTGTAGAATGCTTGTAAGGTGGGATGGTTTCCAGAGAAGGAGGCTGAAGAGCTTTTAACTTTATCTAATGAGGTTGTTATTGTACATTTTGTCTGGTAGAATATATGGTCTGCATATGAATTGTCTGCTAATGCTCCCGTTTTGTAATACAGATGGGTAGACACTTCTGTGTTCCAATAGTGGCTGACACTGTTACTAGCTGTAGTCATTCTGTTGTTGCAACAGTCATGGCAAGGTGGGAGTTTTTACCTTGTTTGGTTATTTTTGTGTTAAAATTTTCTCAAAATATTCCCTTGAAAATGAATCTTCTATGCTTGATTAAAATCTTTATTCAGGTACAAGCTAATGCTGGTTTAAATCCTTGTGTTGGTTTTCCTTTTTCAGGTTTTATCCATGTATGAAAATGGGCCACGTATTTACCTCCCTTGAAATCAAGGTAGCTCTATAATCCTTTTGACCAACATACATACATCCACATATGTATGTATTCACACGTGTGTGTTCACTTTTGAATTATATTGTAATTTGTCTTTTATTGCTTTATAGCCTGGATATGGAGTTTACACAAATGATTTTCATATACTGAAGGAGTCGACATATTCTCCGGAAGACAAGATTGTAAGCATCTCTGTAGTTAATTGGGATTTCATAAGTGTTTAACGGCTTATACATGCTCATATTTTTATAGATTTGTTTGGGATATTTATGTTTTTATGTATATTTTAATTTTGTGTTTATATTTGATGTAACTATTCAATTCATCTTAAGGGTGGAAGTGCCTTGCATTTCCAAGGTCCAAAGGATGGACTAGATTGAGTAGTCCTTCCTCCCCTTTGGCCTTTGAATGGTTTAAACCCCAGAACTTGAGCACTCGTAAATTGTTTACAACCGTGCACAACCCACCCTTATCCCCCCCCCACACACACACACACACAAAAACTATGCCACTGGTGTGGGTCATGTATGACAATTATCAATAAGAAACATTCTCTCTCAAAATATATTTGTATCACTGACTAAATTCACTCCTTCCGTGTACTTTATTGTGTAGTTAAGTGCATGTCCGTACTAAATTACAAGTATGGTTGCATTGACCTTTCCAGTCTTAAACTTTCTGGTAACTGCTTCTCGTTTCTATTTTGCACAATTTACTTTCCTGATGCAGATCGTTTTTCTTTCTCCTCTGGTAGGAAACACACACACACACACACACACACATTTTGGATACCCTCCCAAACTCACTTCGTGAGCCTGAGTTTGAAACTGGATATTATGATGTAAATTTGACTTCATGCTTGTACTTGTTTATTGCAACATGGCTATAGCTTTGCGCAACATAGTTTTGTTAAGTACATGCTAGAGATCTTATTCGTTCCCATAGATGTAAGAAATCTCATGTGTAGATATACTATTGCAACATTCAACTATCTGGCTATCAACACGTGCCTGTATTATTGATGATGTTTCCTATACTGTATCCCTATTATTACGTAGTAGTTATGTTTTTTCGTTGTTTCTTCACCTTATTTTTTGGCACCGCAACATTTACTTTTCTTTTTTTTTTTTTTCCAGCGAAAATTTAGCATATGTTTATGGAAGTTACTCTATATTATGCATTCTTTATTCTGATTGCAGTGTCTACTTGTAGTACAAGTGGATAAGACGGATACATCTGCATGTATTATAAGTCCTCAACAAGCGAAGTATGAATGATTTTTTTCTTTTTCTTCTTTTGGCATCGGGAGTGGAGAGGTGGCCTTATTACCGTTTGTCTGATGATACTTTCTTCTGAAATCTGTAGTTTTCTTATCAATGGAAAGGGAGTGGACAGGAGAACTAATGTTTCTATGGTGTGTCTTCAAACTCTCTGGACCACTGCATTTATATGACAACATGTGGTGCACCTCAAATTGTCAAGAGGCTAGATTTATTAGTTCATTATGTATTTTGTTTCCCAGGATCCTGGACCACTGATGCCAACAAATGTGACTCCACTGTTAAAATATGGAACAAATCTACTTCAAGCCGTGGGACAGTTCAATGGTAAGCTCTACAGGAGGCTTCCGTTCTTAAGAATTCCAGTTTGTCATGTCATATTCATCCGTCTCTGACAGACTAATTAACTTTTAGGTCACTATGTTATTGTTGTTGCCTTTATGAGTGAAACACCATTATCTGAAACTCAAGTTCTGCCAGATTATGTTCAACCTCTTGTGGATGGATCAGATTCAGGTGTGTTTAAAAGGAACAGAGAAAAAAAAAATTCTATACTTTCAATAACTATGCATATGCATTTATGTTTGTCCGTGTGCGCTTGTTATACACCTCGTGTGTATGCACACAGACTCACATAATATAAAGACGTTTAGTGCATAACTTCCCTTTTTTGATTTTATAGTAGATGCAGACCTAATTGAAGGGCCTTCACGAATATCACTTAACTGTCCCATAAGGTATGGCATCGTATTTGTTATTTTTTTATAAGAAAAACTTTATTGATAAAATCAATAACAAGGGCAGAGGATAAGGAATCCTCAAACCCACGAGATACAAAAATGGCCAAAATGTGAAAAAAGATTTGACCAAGATATAAAAGGAAACACAAAAATAACTCTCAAATCAATTCCCTATTACATCTTTCCAATTCCAAACGACCAAAGAAAGTGGAAATCCTTTAAAAGCTTTATCTGAAGCAGTCCATAGCGATTCAAGGAACTTTGCCTTCTCAAAGATATCAATTGGCTCCATCTCCTTTTCCTAAAAAATTTTGGCGTTTCTTTCCATCCACAGAGTCTGTAGCGCACCGGAAGCACCATACATTTTCATTAGACTCTGGCCATCTTGTTAGATCCCAAGCCACCACTTTCTCAATCATCAAAGAGGTACACTTTGCTGGAATTGCCCAACTAAAACTGGCCTCCTAACTCATTTTGTTCCAAAGTGATCTGGCCACCCTACAATGTAACAGTAGGTGATCAATGCTTTCTTCATTATCCCTGTAGAGAACACACCAAGACGGGGAGAGCATCATATGAGGGTTTCTCATGTGTACCCAAAAATAGGTATTAATTTTCCCATGAAAGACCAACCAAGCAAAAACTTTAATTCTATGGGGGACACACAAGATTTTCAAATGAATTTAAACAGTTTAAAACTGGGAATGGCATTTCTGTCCACTATGGAACTCAAAAAGGATCGACAAGAAAAACCTAAAGGATCACACAACTACACTCTACGATCAAGAGAAGATGAGCTAAATGAAACGGAGTTGAGAATTTGAAGTAGAGAATGCAAATCCTCTACCTTTCTATCATTAAGGCCTTTCTTAAAATGGAGGTTTCAATTCGACTCTTCATTAGTAGACAGTGATTCAATATCATAAATGAAAGCATTTGGAAAGTCAGAAAGTCTAAAGAGACTAGGAAATAAAAGCTCCAAGGATTCATTATCACACCATTTATCTTTCCTGAATAAAATTTTGGTCCCATTTCTCACTTTCAATTTGACATTTTGAAGAAAAGAATTCAGCCCCTGAGAGATAAGTTTCCATGGATTTTTAGAAGATCCTCTAGTCACTAGGTTCGAATCCCAGCCATTAGAATGCAGTCTATACTTATAACTCTAGCCCACAATGAATTTTGTTCCAAGGGAAATCTCCACAGCCATTTACCTAGAAGAGCCACATTCTTCATTTTCAAATTTCCATTCCCCAAACACCCTTTTGCTTGCTACCCATAACAATGTCCCAAGCCACCAAACTCTTCGATTTGTTGCCCTCTTGATTGTCCTAAAGAAAAGTGCGCATCACCTTCTCCAATACTAAAACTACCGAATCGGGCATCTTGAAAAGGGACATGTAATAACAAACAACAAACCTCATATGGCATATTTCGATAATGTTGTAAATAACTCTTTTTAAGTGTTCAAAATAATCAAGCCTGAGTGAGCAATAAGAGGAATAAGAGTGTGATGAATAGAGGATTAAAGAAAGAATGAGGTACAAACACTTTGATCAGGACTTTAGAACAAAACACAAAGTTTTCATTTTAAGATTAGACAACTCGGGGAGTGAGATTGAGATTACTGAGAGGAACAGAGTGCAATGTTTTTCAATCCAAGTAGACTTGGGGTTGTGCGTCTTGGTTGTGTTCAACAGTTAAATAAGCTCTTATTAGAGGTAAGGAGGGAGGTTTCGGAAGGTTCTACAGAGGTTCTAGCTACAGGATAATTCTGGAATGTAGAAGGAACAAAGGTGGTATTTTCATGAGGATTTCGAAGATAAAAAGTGGAGGAATAAGGAATATCGTAATTCCAGTCGAGTTTGCTTTTCAAGGATGGGAGAAGTTTAGCAGATGCCTTCAAAAGTTTCTTCAACATGAGCAGTCATAAGAAAGCTGAAAAGGAGGAAGTAGGACTGAGAAAGGGATGTCATTCTGATGGTAAGAAGGTAGAGGTGGTAAAATCTTGGAGAACTGCAATGTTTAGTTATAAGGAGAAGTGTGGATGCTCATTGGAAGATGATTATGGATTTAATTGGTAGAAGGCTATCGAGGGAGGTGGAGGTGGTTCCTATGGCTGTTGATAGGGCTGTTGATAGGGCAGTTGTTTGGTGCAAAGATGATGTAGAAAGAAATGTGTTGCTAAAAGAGAAATCTCTACTCTGGAGGAAAAACATAGTAGCGAGGTTGGAGCCAAAGACAATTCTCTCACTGGGAGCCGTTTAGATTGAGGCAACGAATAGTTGGATCAGAATTGAAGGATTGCCTTTGAACTTATGGAATATTCATGCCTTTAAGATTATAGGCGATGCCTGTGGAGGTCTTCTGGAGGTTGCCAAAGAAACTTTGGACCAGTCTTTCCTTAAGTTCGCAAAAATCAAAATTAGAGGCTTCAGGGAAGGTCTGATGCCACCAGTTTTAGAAGTCCCATGTCAAGGTGAGAAAATACATCCGGGTCTATTCAATTTGGAGTATAGGCAGTTCCAGTCAAATGGAAGAGTACACAACGAGGGCTGGAGGAAATTATGAAGTTAGGGGAGATGAAAATCTTGGAATTCGACTGGTGGTGCAAGGAAGGAAGTATGGTGAAGACGTCATAACCGGCGGCAACATGGTAGAAAATCCGGTCAGTGGCATTAGAGGGGACGAAGATGAAGAGGCGAAAGATATTTCCAAATTGGAGTCTTCTTTGAGCTGGATTCCACATGCAAAGAAGGCTGTGGAGGCGGTCCCATGTGTCCCTAAGAATTCGCCCCACGTGGCGAATCATATTGATGAACCAGCGTTATTAAAAGAGTTTTGTGGATCGAGGGAAACAATAGTTGAAGAGTATCTTCTAGGTTTTGAAGTCCATCACATGCCCCTACCTCCTTAAAAGAGGGCTCTATTCCTTTCCAATAAATTTGGAATTCTAGAGGATGTGAGCAGTTTAGGAGGAGTTGACTTAAATGCTCAAGCCAATCAGATATTGGGCCTGTTTTGAACGAGATTCCAAGGGTAAGCCAATCGAGGGGGAGAGTGGGGGAAATGTTAAGGCCTGCTCTGAACTGATTAAAGCCCAAAAAAGTCATAATGAGAGTCGGTGGAAGCCCAAAGGTAGGTTTGAATTTACTATGGCTAAAATTGAAAAGTGGAAAGAAAGTTTTCAGAGGAAAGACTCTAAAAAGCCTGTTCTACAATATTCGAGTGCAGGAGAATTGGAAGATCGTAAAATCAAACCTTTTCCTCTTTTCTATCGAAGATTGAGAAAATCTAATCAAGCTCACGCAGTTTCGGTCGAGCCAGGGGATGACAGAAAATCGGAAGAGTTTTTTTCCGAGGAGGGCATGCTGGAATCCGAAGGGGATAATTATTTTCTTTCACAAGGAGGGCATTCTTCGGAAGGAGAGAGTGGGTCTCATTCAGTCTCCTCCTTTCGTTCAACAGACGAAGAAGAAGAGGCGTTGAACTAAGGGGATTTTGTCGGGCTTGAGGAAATAAGGTTTCTCACGTCAACTAATAATTCAGAAGAATTGATGACCAAGGAAGGAGGGGTAAAGTCTTTGGGCTCTAATGAAGGCCAAGCCCTTAGCCCGACCATTCTTTAATTTGCCTCCTTTAGCATCTCTGAAACTAGCCAGATGGGAGGAAAACTTGGAGAAGCGTAGGGCGGAGCACAGGTAGGAGATGTTTTAAAGGCTGTTGAGGTCGGTGGGGAGTTAAGAGCAGTAAGGGGAATTCCAGAAGAGGAGGAGGAGAATTGGCAGATAAGTAGGGTAAATCTATTATCTACGTAATATTGTCTCGATTGGAGGTAAAAAGGTTGAGTGGAGAAAGGTGAGCGAAGTTCTTCAGAAGATGCAAATCCAACTGACAACATCTAAGAAAATTGAAGGGGCTGCAAGGTCGGTTAGGAGAAAAGGAAAGGAGAGAGAATTAAAGAATTTGGAGTTTAATGTTCATTATGAGAAGAACATTAATGGGGATGTAAGAGGTGATTTATGAAGTTGATGTCTAGGAATATTAGAGGAGGAAATTCCTCCCTAAAGAGAAGGGGAATTTGGGAGGTAGTATGTAAGGAAGCTCCAGATGTTTTGATTCTTCAAGAAGTTAAGCGCAGAGAGGTAGATAGAAGATTTGTGGGTAGCATTTGGCAGTCAAGATTTAAGGAATGGGTATTGCTACCGGCTGAGGATCGCTCAGGGGGAATTTTGGTTGTTTGGGATGTTAGAAGGATTAAGGTAGTGGAAAGTTTTATAGGAGAGTTCTCGGTCACTATAAAGGTTGAGGATGAAGGGAACATCTGGTGGTTATCAGGGGTGTACGGCCCTAATCACTGCAGTAAGGTGGTGCTGTTTTGGATGAGCTTGCAGGGTTATGGAGTTTATGTGGACAGAGATGGTGTGTGGGGGGTGATTTTAATGTCACTAGATTTTCGACAGAGAAAAGCGCAGGCAGTAACATCACAAGGAGTATGAGGATTTTTGATGAATTTATTAAGGAATTAAATTTAGTTGATCCGTCTCTCCATAATGCAAAGTATACATGGTCAAATTTTAGAGAGGCACCAATTTGTTGTAGATTGGATCGTTTCTTATTTTCAAAAGGTTAGTGGGAAGTTTTTCCTTTTGGGCATCAAGAGGCGACGGTCCGAGCTATTTCTGATCATTGCCCGATCTTGTTTCATACTAAACTGCCAAAATGGGGGCCTTCTCCATTTCGTTTCGATAACACTTGGTTTGAAAGTAAGGAACTGATTAGGCTTTTGAAAGGATGGTCGGAGGAGGAAGAAGTTAATGGATGGGAGGGATACATAATAATGAGAAAATTGAAGCTTTTGAAAGATAAGGTGAAAAGTTGGATTGTGGACTATTTGGGGGTTGATCACTTAGAGAAAAGGAAAATCTTAAAAAGGATTGAGGAGATAGATCGAAAAGAAGGAAGTCCCGAATGGGTTTCGGAATTGCAAGAGGAGAGGACGGGACTAAAACGAAGACTTTTTAGCCTTATGGAAAGGGAGGATAGGGCTTTGAAATTGAAGTGTAAGTCTATTTGGGCTAGAAAGTGTTATGCGAACACAAACTCTTTCATAGATTGTTAAGTGTGAGGATAACGAGAAATACAATCTCAAAGTTGGAAATAGAAGAATAGGCAATATTGGAAGATGAGGAGGAGATCATAAAGAAGACTGTTGAGTTCTATGAAAAGTTGTACGAATCAGTGAGTGGAGATTTTATTGGAGTTGAAGGTTTAGATTGGAGTCCAATCTCTACAGTAGCAGCCGAGTCTCTGGAAAAGCTGTTTGAAGAGGAAGAAATTAAGCAACCAATTTTCAGTTGTGATGGCAATAAGGCTCCCTGTCCCGATGGGTTCACTCTTTCTTTTTTTCAAGAATGCTGGCCTTTTATGAAAGGTGATATTCAGAAAGCTTTTGATGAATTTTGGAGGTCGGGGAATATTAAAAAGGTCACCAAGGAAACATATATCTGCCTCATCCCCAAAAAGGCCAATTCATGCAGAATCAAAGATTTTAGACCAATAAGCTTGGTCTCGAGCCTATACAAAATCTTTTCGAAGGTATTGTCGAATAGACTCAAGGAGGTGTTGGAAGAGACAATTTCTAAAGTTCAAGGGGCTTTTGTGGCTGAGTGTCAGATTTTAGATCTTGTTTTGGTGGCCAACGAGGTGGTGGAGCATTATAGGTCATCAAGTAGAGAGGGGGGTGGTGGTGAAGATTGATTTTTAGAAGGCCTATGATCATGTCGAATGGGAGTTTTTAGATTTTGTTATGGAAAGAAAAGGGTTTGGTGCTAGGTGGAGGAAATGGATAATGGGCTGCATTGGATCGGCCCCTTACTCGGTAATGAAAAAGGTAGGCCAAGGGGGAAATTCGCAGCGTCGAGAGGGCTTTGACAGGGAGACCCACCCTTTGTCACCGTACCTGTTCACTTTAGCGGTTGACGTGTGAAGCAGGCTTGTCGACAAGGTTGTTGAAGACTCTTTCAGCCGTTTGGTGTCGGCAAAACTAATATTAAGGTCAGTCAGTTACAATTTGCTGATGACACCTTATTTTTTAGTTCTCCAGAAGAGAATAGCTTGTCAAACCTTTCTTTGATTCTGGAGGTCTTCTGTTTGATATCCGGACTGAAAATAAACTTGGAGAAAAGTATAATTTTGGGCATAAATTTGGAGGAAAATAGGCTTATCTACGTTAGTAGGAGTTATTGGTTGTTCTATTGGGTCGTGGCCAGTCAAAGTATTTGGGATTAACTTTAGGAGGAAATCCTCTGCAAGCTGCATTTTGGGATCTTGTGATTACTAGGGTGTTGAAAAGATTGGATGGGTGGAAGAAAGCGTTCTTATCTAAAGGAGGAAGATTAACTCTCATTCAGTCAGGTTTAGCATCTTTACCCATATACTTTTTATTAGTGTTTAAAATTCTCGTTGGAGTGGCAGACGCGATTGAGAAGCTAATGAGATTTTTTATGGGAGGGATTCTCAGATGATAACTCGTCTCACTTGGTGGCTTGGGAACAGGTGCGTAAACCAAAAAAATTGGGAGGTTTGGGAATCGGAAACATCAGGAAGAAAAACGAAGCCCTGCTAGTGAAATGGCTGTAGAGGTTTCCGCTGGAACCAGAAGCGTTGTGGCATATGGTTATCGTTGGGAAGTATGGGCTGAGTAGGAATGGTTGGGACTCAAGGGTAAGCTGTGAGAGTGACATACAAATGCCCTTGGAAATCAATTCTTTCGGTGGCTGATATTTTTCTCCAAAGGGTTAAATGGAAGATAGGATCAGGCAAAATTGTTGGGTTTTGGGAAGATTGTTGGAGCGAGGGTAAACCTTTGTGTTCAAGATTTCATGCTCTATGTAGGATTTCCTCATTAAAAGAGCAGCCAATTGTAAGATTTATCTCTGAAGACAATTCCTAAGTGCCAACTCGTGGAATTTTGGGTTCATAAGGAGACTAATGGACAGAGAATTGAGGGAGGTGTTAGAATTAACAACTATTGTGGAGAGGGTCAGAATTCATAGCGCGATTCAAGACATCAGGGTGTGGAAGCCAGACACTAATAGGATATTCTCAGTCAAATCAATTTTCAATTCATTGACATGTGATCCTTCATTTTCGCAATTCCCTTTCTTCGAAAATATATGGAAATCTCCGGCTCCCAGCAAAGTTAAAGTTTTTTGTTGGTTGATTGCCCTTAACAAAGTGAATTCTTATGAGTCGTTGCAATGTCGAAGCCCATTTATTTCGATTTCTCCAGGGTGGTGTTACTTGTGTAGAAATGATGGGGAGACGACTGATCACTTGTTTCGTCACTGTACTTATTTCAGAAAGTTTTGGTCTCTCTTACCTAGGGAGTTTGGTTTCCCTTGGGCGACTCCAGAAAGATGTTCTGAACTGATGATCTTTTCCCCTCCATCTGGATATAGTCAAAGGGGGTTGATAATGTGGAGGGCTGCGGTTTTAGCTGTGTTTTGGGGTTTGTGGTTGGAGAGGACCAATAGAATTTTGGAGAACCAAAAGGAAGATGAAGAGGTTCTTTGGGATAAAATAAAGTACTGGGTGACGTTATGGGTATATAGAGATAAAGAATTTGGGAAGCTAATTTTTTCGGAGTCCTTTAGGAACTGGGATCACTTTTTATAGATTTATCTTGGGTGTTTTGTTTTTGATTTACTTATATGCTAATGGTCGTGTATAGTGGGAGCTTGGTTCGGTTGAGGATAACTCTTCTTCTTCTCTCCTAGTTCTCTTTTGTTAATTTGTTAATTTATTAATAAAGTCTCCTTTCTTTTCAAAAAAAAAAAAAAAACCCTCCAGAAGCGTCTCCAATAATTTTGAGGGTGAAAATTCCACATGTTAAGGGGGAGACCTTCAATCCCAATCCGACACTTACGAGCTTCAGTATGGAGATAGTCCCAGTGCGAGTATATGGACCGGTAGTCCATCTTTGCCAAGTACTTATTGAAATATAGACTGGTTTGTTCCATTAAAAACTTCAACTCCTCTTCACTTCGACACCATGTTATTATTGCCCTGTCTGCTGCCATGGCAATGACCTCCACTCTCCTCACTCTACTCTCAATTGCCCTTTTTATTGTGTCCCATTCATTCTCCAATTTGTTTCTGCGAATAACAACCACCAATTTCCAGCATTTAGTTGCCGAGCTTTGAGTTCCTTCTAACGTGGCTTCATACTCTGTTGTTGAATCCTACTCTCGTCTTTGTTGTATTGCAGACTGATCTCTCCATGTCTGGCTTTGCTCACCTCTTAACTGTGCGTTTCTGCTTTTAGCCTTGTTTTTTCTATCTCCTGCCTTGTCTGGAACCATTGTAGTCTTTCTAGTTCCTCTGAAGAAGTTAGCTCTTCCCATCAACCTGTTTAGCTTGTTCATCAAGATATTCCATCCCATCTTCTTGCTGTCTCCAGGTAGAATGATGCTTCTATCGGCACCACCATCGATTCTTGTGGTCTTCATGTATTCTCCCCTTGAGCTCTTAAGCACCTCAATCAGCAAAACATACTGCTCCCTGTTGAACTACTTTTTGAAACCCTCAATCCTATTATTTTTGCATAAGAACTCCATTGTTTGGCATATCCAAGTTACTGCACCTAAGCCGCAGAAAATGAAGAATTTCGACTGCCTATTGGTTTCCTCTATTCCCACCGAACCACCATCTTTACTCAATGATATTTTGTAAAGCTTCGAACCTATTCTAAACTCATGAAAAAGGCGTTTCAAATCATTTTGAGACATTTTAACTAATCAGATATTGTTATGAGTAAATCAGTAAAGAGATTGAAAGCTCATCTTTCGAAATTCTAGGGAGAAGGAAGAGTTTTCTTTAAAAACAAAAGCTGCCCCTGCTGTGGTGGCATGGTATTTGTGATTCCAACTGTCATTTTATCAGTTCTTCAGGCTGCTGCTTCTTCCTCTTCTTTCTTTCCTTCTTCTCTTTCTTTTTTATTTTTTATTTTTTTTGGCTTTTAAGAACTTTGGATTTGTATTAATGTTGGTTGAATCACATGTAAATTATATTTCCATATGTTGTGAATAAAGTATGACCAGTATCCTGTTTACTAATCAAATTGGTTTCTATTTGCAAATAGCCATACCCGTATTAAAACTCCAGTCAAAGGACACCTATGTAAACACCTTCAGGTGAGTACTTTACATATATTTATATATTTATATTGTGATTGTGCATACATACATACTGTATATACATGCGTGAATGATTTTTTTTTTTTAAATCAATTTACACGTTTGGCTTCTGTAACATTTTTTCAATTGTCGCTTTTATTGTTTTCTATTTGGAAGATACCTTATCCTCTTTTCCTGTAATTGATTTTATATCAATAAAGGAGTTTTTCTTATTAAGAAAAAACATTATTATAGGACTCTAGTTAATTGGCTCAGGGCCCTTGATAATTCCATTAGAAAACAAAAATATAAAAACGTGGCCCTAGATAACTCGATTTCTGCTTACTTGCAATAATCTGCTTTCATGTGGTCTCTCTTTTCCACTATCTGGCTTATAAGGACAGAAACTAAAAGAAGAGTAGAAAAGATTTCTTTTGAGACAATATTAAGGATGAAGGTTGTAAATAATAAATGAATATTAGGAAACCAGAAACCAATAATTGTTTGCAATTTCTCCAAACTCTCGGAAGAACCAATGGGAAAAAAAAAAAAAAATACTATCACTCTCATCTCTCTTGTTCTCTTTGTCGAGAAAGAATTTCTGTTGCATAGGATGTGTGTGTGTGTATTCATTTATGTATCTTCTCCTATAAAATGCAAGTTCTGTAGTTTTGAAATATTCTTGCTGTCTTGTGGAAGATTTCTTTTTGTGTGTTATCATTATTCACACTATTTCCCTCTAATTTCATCATCTAATGCAAACTGCAGTGTTTTGACTTCAGTAACTTTGTTAGTATAAATACAAGAAGACCATCTTGGCGTTGCCCTCACTGTAATCAGTGTGTCTGCTACTCAGATATTCGTGTAGATCAGAATATGGCCAAGGTGAGTAGCTATGAATTGCAGGTGTTATGTTGATTTCCCCTTTTTCCACTTTCCTTTTGTATGGGCTTCTAATTTTCTCCCATCAGGTCCTACAAGAGGTCGGAGATGATGTTGTTGATGTAATTATCTCTGCGGATGGATCATGGAAGGCTGTCTTTGAAAATGATGCTCATGTGAATCAGGTTCAAGATACAAACACCGGCGGTCCAAAAGAAACATCTGAGCTACAAGAAGCTACCACCACGTTGTCAAATGCTCTTCCTAGTGTTGTAGATCTTACTGGGGATGATGATGAGATGGATATTGGGGGCGCTTATGAAATTGAGGACATTAAACCTTCCCTTGCTAATCTTAGCGCTCCACCTCATTTAAACAATATAATTGGGGTCAATCAAAATGTTGCTGCAGTAGAAGATGCTTTTCGGACAGGAGGTCACATTTCCTCTGGGTTGGCGAGCACTCTGAGGTCGGACACCCAAATGTTTGTTGGAGCCCCTCAGCCCACTCCTGCAACTTTTGTTCAGACTCCTTCCATTTCTCCAGCACTTAATCGCGAAGCTGATGTTCATGTGAATACTAATCCGACAGCTCCTGAATTGCACAATCTTTCTTCCCCAAATAATTTGCAGTTACAACAGATGCCTTCTGTGAACTCAATTTCTAGCAATGAGTATGGAAGATTTCCAACAATTCACAGAATTGTAAGCAGGACACCGATAGCAGTTCAGGCCCTCCCAGCACAGTCCCAAGCACCAGGAGCACCAAGATTAAGACCTGGTTTGACTTCTTCCACTCCCACACCCACTCCTAGCAGTTCTCCTATTGCTTCTCAGGCTGGTTTATCACCAACGGTGAGTGGTTTTAGCACAGTATACTGTGATACTGAAAGGCAACAGCACTTTTCGAGATCGCTTGTCAATCCACCACAACCGACAGCTGTTGCCTCATCTTCACTGCAACAGCACTTGGTAAGCCAGGGCAGATCTTGGTGTTTCTTGCATTTTGCCTTGTCAATGTACTTTTTCGGGAGCCACCTGTGGAAAAATCTGTCACATAATTCTTTATATAATAAAAGGTTTTCCTGTGCAGTTGATTGTTGCATGTCGTCTCATGATTTCTATTCTTACATCTTGTTTTCTCTTAAATCCGCAGAACCAGAATCGTCAAGATCGTTCGTTTGCAAGTCCAGTGTCAAATGGTTATAGGTCACCATCGTTACTTTCTGGTTTCCAAAATGCGCATCTTCAACAAGCTTTTAATTCGAGGGCCCATCCCGTGGTTCGGCCATCTTCACCTCTCTCACAAACACCGATCCAGCAAGGAAGTGCTCAAGCAGGGACTGCTCAGGCATCATCAGGGGCTGGAGTCCGACAAACGAGGATTGGGGCTGCTGTTCAGGTAGGAGCAGCTGCCCAGATGGGTAGACAATCTCACTTGCCAGCAGTGCAAAGCCAAACATCCAGACCGGGGCCGTCTTTGCTAGGAAATGCTGCTAGAGTATTAACAGGGGATCAGAGGGGAAATATTGGAGGGGGAGTGCAAGCAGATTCAAGGGCTAATGGTTCTGCCGAACAGAATTGGCAGCCAACAGGCCGAATGCGTGGAAGCCTCATGGGTCGGAACTATTCGCATCTTACAGATATAATGATCCAGCCTACTCAACAAGCAGAGTCTGCAAGACCACCATTGCTTCCGGTATCTTCCCCGCCACCAGCTGTCCCCAGCACGCTGCAGGTGCTTCTTGCCAACAGCAGAAACACTCGTGCTCCGCAACCACAAGGTGATACCACTCGATAATAGATGGCGTCCCGTGTGTATATATGAATGCCATGTCTCATTCTGTATTTCCTTGATCGTTATCACCATGTAAAATTCACTTTATAGAGTTAAGGGGCTCGAAGCAGCGTTGTTATCAATGCACTTGTTTCTATTTTTCTTGCCCCGATTTTTCCTTTTGCAGCTATTAATTATTTGGTTGGAACGATGCTCTACCTTTCTTTTTTCCTCTAGTCTCGTAGTTGCTAATTTTTTATTGGTGAAAAAAAAGTGAAATTGTAGCACATAGGTCATTTGCTAAAAATATTTATGGTAAATAGAAAATTTATAAGATAAATTTATTGTAAATATGCTTATGTTTTGTAAAGGAATCATTTACCATAAGAATCCTATGTATTATTCATATACAAGAGACATTCATGGTAAATATGTTTTTTTAACCAGCAAAAAAATATGTTTAACAAACGAATCATTATCGTAAATACATCATTTAAAATAGTTATGATAAATGATGTATTTAAAAGTTAATAATAATAATAATAATAATAATAATAATAATAATAATAATAAAAACTTCTGAAAGAACCAATAAAGTTTTATTTCAAAGAGACTAAAACATGATTTCAATACTCACTCAGAAATAAGAGATAGATGGTGTGGGGCAAGAAGAGGGGCAAAAACTATTGGTTACAGCGAGTAACTCAAAAGAACAGATTGCTTTGGTAAACAAGGAACTAAGCTACCATTTCCTCAACTCCATGCCTTTAGGCGGGCTACTCGCAACTTTCATTGAACCCACTTCTTTCCAATCGGTTGACAGCACTGTCCCATTTGACTCGACCTACGAATGACACCATCCAAGTAATATTTAGTTCTTCACAGATGTCGAGAGAATATTTTCAAAGAAATTGATATGACCCATGTATTAACTTTTTCATATGAACAAAATTGTAGCCATTGATCCTAATTTTTTTGTCCCTCAACTTTTACAATATGCAATCAAAGCATGACCATAAGGGCTTCTTTCTATACAGGGGCTTGACCAGTGCATGGAAGCTAGCCGGCGTGGCAAGAAATGAATCCGCACAAGGAAAAATAAGTTTAAAACCTTGTGATGGTTGAGAAAAACATTACAATCCTCTTAAAAGCAAATGCACAAAAAGCATTGTAAGCAAATAACAAAGAAATCTTACGAAAGATTTGGTCATTGCTCTCCTAATATCCTCATCAGCATCTTGGTATATGTCCTGGAATAGCTTGTTCAGAGCAGCATCACCTTCTAACTTCTCTTCTTTTTCCTGAAAGTCAGCCATCATACAGTCAGTTCCTAAAATGATTGTTGAAATGCTAAGCAATGAAGCAACCAAGTAAAATGAAAAATCTCTAATATAGAACTCCAATGATGCTGAATAACCTCTGTCTTCACTTGGGCTTCCAACTTATCCCAGTCTCTTGATTTTGGCTTTGAAGATGGGTATGCGGGCTTGACAGATCCACCTGCATATACATGGATTCAATTCATGTTGACAAGTAAACCAATAAATAACAACGAATTATTTCTTCCAATGGAGATCATGCAAGGTAAATGATATCACTTCTTTACTCCCAGTTAATGGGTTGAGTAAGTTCAAAACATAACCATAACCATACTATGAACTCCAGAATAACAACTGAACTTTTCATGGAACTAATGAAGTATAGTCAACATATGAAATGAATAAGAAGCCAACCTGATGAGACGTTGACTCTGAGTGGAACAATAGCCTCTCTGCTATATTCAAGTGATGCCCATTGAATGGCTTCAGCTTTGACGAGACGGATTTCAATTTTGGTTGACAGTATCTGATATCTGCACTTATCTGGGCTTATCTGTTTTCCTCGCAATAAAATAAAAGGGCAAGGTAAGTAGAACGTGTTTGAATATAAAGAAGTATGGCACAATGCACTTATGCATGCTCAAGCAATACCTTCCCAAACAATCGAGGTTGGAAATGATAAGCATCTTCTCCAGGTATTTCTATTTTAACGCTTAGCTGCAACGCAAATTCAGGGGCTAATACATCATTTCACAGGAAAAAAAAAAAAAAAGCCAGTTTCTGTAGGATTCACATACAATCTGTTCACCAAACTCAATAAAAACATGTCTTGCTGGTATGCCCTTTGCAAATATAGTCACCACCACTTCATCCGGCTTCTGGTAGAACTCATGTCTGTTTCAACTATCTAGTTGTTAGATCATCTTATACTTCACAAAATAATTCTGTAAAGGTAACAACGTTCAAAAACAATGCTCGCTAAATACGAAATACAACCTAGATAATTGTTTTCTATGAAGTATCAACAATTTTAAGAGAGCAAAGTAAGCAGCGATAAACATAGAAAGTGGAAATTACCTGTATTTTGGCCTTAAGCTTGTATCAATCTGAGAAGACAAGTTACGTTGTTTTTTAAAGTCTGCCAAGGTTTCAACAGATACAGGTGTAGTACTTGCTAGCCCATTTGATGTCAAAGGCTTATTTAGAAGCTTGTTTTCCTCTGAGAAGGACATCGAAATTCCATGTACATACAATTCAGAAGCAGGACGAAACTTACGAACATATTAAAAAAAAAAAAAGTTTGACATGTTAACTTTGTTAACAGGTCTAGAACACGTGTCATATTTGATGGCTTATGGTTATTGTGGCACTCTAATTCACATATATCATCTTCCAAACTCTTTTCAGAGCATTAGAAACCTAGAACAGCATGGCTGTCCAGCTTGAACGAATTCAGACTTTATAGTTCTATAAACGTCCCAAGGTCCAGCACATGATCTAAAAAGAAGCTTTCAGCTCTCTCTAACAAGTAACAACAAAAACCGATATGATGAATCTGCTAATTGAACTGAACTAAATGTTCCAAAGACTATTCCAAGCCACAATACCTTCAATACAATTATCACATTCCTTAAGCAACCTGGTGAATCTCGAATCATTTGACGACAAAGATGCCCCAACTTCAAGTGCGGCCTTGGCAGTATGATATTCTTCGAGTTTCAAACAAGCAATGCTGCATTAAGAAGAAATAACCTCAACTATTGCTTAAATACTTCTGTAAAACGTAACTTTCCAACTTCCAATATCACTAAGACACATCTTTATCAGAAAAATTTATTAGAAAAATAGCACATATCTTGACAGAAGATAAGGCAAGTGAAAGGCTAATGAGCCTCAATACCTAAAACAGAGAATTTTGACATAAAAAGACAAGTGAGACAACAACGACGCATTGAACCAAAGAAATAAACTCATAATCAAGCCTCACACAATACGAAAGCTTATGAAATTAAAATAAACCTTATGTTATGCAAATTTATCGTCTAGGCTAACCAACAAAGAGCCCTTCTCTCAATAAAAACTGTCATCTTAACCAAAATACTACAAGTAACAGGAAAAGCATACATTACCCTTTACGCAGATACGCCTTAGCCATTGACCGATCAAGCTCAATTGCCTTGTTAGCGTCGCCAACAGCTTCTGCTTGAAATTATCACCAATCAACAAAAAAATTAAAAAAGGAACAAATTATTACGCAAAGTTGCAACTTAAATCTCTCAACTCCATTTCTTAACCATATTATTCATAATTCAAATCAAAATGTCGTAGAATAAACCATTACTGGTGAGTGTGTGTGTGTGTGTGTGTGAGAGAGAGAGAGAGAGAGAGAGAGAGAGAGAAAGAGGGAGAGAGAGAGAGAGAGTACCGGTGAAGTTGTTGAGCTTGAGATTGGCCTGAGCGCGGTCGGCGAAAAGATCGGCGTTTTCGGGGTTTAATGTGATAGCCTGAGAGTAGAGATCGACGGCGAGTTGAAAATCGTCGTCGACGAAGGCCTCTCTAGCCTTCTCAGCGAGGTCGCTCGCCATTGTCGCTCGTCGGATAGAGAATTTCTCGAAAATAACTTAGAAGAAGAAGAAGAAGAAAAGGATCTTATACTATTGCTTTTGGTTTGGAGGGAAATTTGGCAAGAACGTACACATCGAGTTCTAGAGAGTTCTACGAACTTGGCGACTTGCACATTTTCTCTATTGCCACGTAAAAAAACACATAATTAATTTGGAATTTTTAGGCCAAAAAATAAAAATTTAATTTGGAGAACAAGGTGTTGAAAAATGGTTTATTTTTTATTTTTTATTTTTTGATGGATTGAAAGATTGTAATTATACAAAGGTTACTACGACTAATGGTCCATGTATTTTGTTACGGGGGAAAATATGGAGGACACGTGGAGGGAGGACAACATGATACGTGGCCTTAACCTTTCCTCGCAAAGCAGAACCTTTGACGTCTGAGACCCCCTTCCTTTCGTCGTTTAGGGCCCGAGTAAGAAGCCTAGGGCGTTGATTTCGCCCAACGTCGACAGGTCGTACCGTCGATCTTACAACATAGAAGTCCACCGCCAAGAAGAACGATTGGGCTAAACAACACTGGCGACGAGGGAAAAACCCCTCCAACGAAGGAAGCTCGGCTATAAAAGGAGAGAAAACTCATACGGAAATGAGGTTGATCTTTTCTAAGAAAGAAAGAACGAAAGAGCATATTGTAAATTGTAACATTCTCAAGAAGGAATAAAAACCACAGTGGATGTAACTCTTCATTTTATAAGAGTGAACCACTATAAATCTTGTGCGTTTTCCTACTTTAAGTATTTTTTCCTATCTTGCTTACTACACAAAAAATACCACAAGCACATCAAATTCCTACACATAACATATACTTAAGCTGGTAATCCGATGGGAAACCCAGAGGTAAACCGGCCTGTTTTTATTGGCGAAAATTCACCGTCTAACATATTTTAGCCCATCTCATTTTGATTCCTTATTTCTTAAAATGTTCCGTTTTAATTCTTTATTTATTATTTTGTTTTAATTTCCATCCTTCATTAGCTAAATGTTAATTGTTTAACGAAATTTTACACATGCTCCCCATGTACTAGGTGACAGTGAGTAAAAATTATAGGCCGTATTTAGAATTAATCATGTTTTTATTTTTTACATTTTTTAAGAAAGAAAAAATGAAAATATTTTCAAAACGGTATTTGGCACAATAAAGATAAAAAATAAAAATGAAAAATGACTTTTAATAATTCATTATTTATTATTTTTGTTTTCTCCTCTCTCGAACAAAGAGAGAGATATATTAATGAGTTTTTTTATACTGAAAACAATCTCTTGATAAAATTACTAAACGCATTTTCAAAAATAATTTATGTCTGAGACTAAAAAATTTTTCATTTTTATTTTTATATAAAAAATAAAATTATTTTAGAATGAATTTTAAACGCGCAATAATTTTTCTTTAATTTACTATTAGTGTAAATTTTAAAAATTTTGCTATCTTTAAACTTTACTATTAAAATTTTGCTAAAGCCCTTGTCCAGAAGCGATGAGAGCTTTATGGGCTTAAAATGGGCATTATGAGCCTTGCCCAATTAAAGCCCATAATGAATAGCATTTTCCTCCGGTTACATATCGTCCAATTCCTCACATTAACGAATAGCGTGATGCCACGTCACGAAGCCGAAAATCAACTTACTTCTCCCTGTCCATGTACTTTTTGTCACCTTGTTCCTGTTCACGTTGCAACCTTCCCCGAAATGGAACTCGCTCTCTCCCACTCAGTGACCATTACACATGTGATCTACCGACTCGCCACGATTCACTGAGTCATGAAGTGCCGATCCGTGGCTTGCGTGTGGTCAGGAGGCACAGTCCCGTCCCACCGAGTAACGGCCACCGCCGTGCTCAGCCATCCGCCGACGCTCTACACCGGCGGATCGGATGGCTCCATCATCTGGTGGAGCCTCTCCTCCGCCGATTCGAACCCGGTGAGTGAGATATTCAACTCGTTATCGACTTTTGACTTCTCGTCCATCATCTGTTTGTTAAAATTACGCTTCCACAACTTTCCGTTGAACGGAGAAAGCGAGAAACGAAATAGTTTGAGCTGAAAATGTGTAATTTTGAAGGTTAAAAACTCGAAACATGTGTGTTTTTCTTTTTGGCGTGAATTGAACCAAAACATGAAATTATAGGAAATGTTTTCGGTAAACGTAACATTATTTTTTGTTCGTCTATGTAACATCATTTGAACGTTATACGTAACATGCTTCAGTGTTACCATGTCATACCAAAAAGTTCATATGAAAAATGTTACACCTGCGAGACTGTATGGCCGCTGGACCTAAGACAATGCCTAAATTTATAATGCCAACTAGCTTTTCTTAATTATGTCTCTCTCCTTTGTTTATCTACTTGAGTTGTACCTTAGTTACTTCTTTTAAATCAATTAGGCTTGTAATAAAGTTTATTTCTTTCTTTTTGTTTTTTTTTAAAATTTAGTGACACAAAAATTACGAATGCACATATGAGTATGGTTGGTTTTTTGTTTTATTTTCTGTTTTAAAATTTGAAATATGAGTATACTTAAAGGTCAAAACTTGAAATATAACTGAAAAATTATAAAACATTTATGCAAATACTGCATTTAAAAAATTCCAGGGGCCTAGCTAAGAAAAGAAGTGTCATTCTCCCCCACTGCCCTGCCCTAAGGTGGCTCCGCCCCTGCTTGTATAATTCTTTATCTTCTGACTACATAAGTTTTCTTTACCAGAAATTCAGTTGTGTAATTAGATTAATTTGAACAGGAATTTAAACCAACGGCTATGTTGTGCGGTCATGCTGCTCCAATAGCTGAGCTTGACATTTGCAATCCTGTTGTAGTTTCTGGAGGTGACAACAAAGACCTTTCAAGTAATGAGAAATCAAACTTTAGCTCTGATGCTTATGGGGCCTTGATAAGTGCATGTAGTGATGGCGTAATGTGTGTGTGGAGCAGAGGAAGTGGACATTGCAGGCGGAGGCGGAAATTGCCCCCGTGGATGGGAAGTCCTTCAATGGTGCGGACATTGCAGTCTAATCCGCGCTATGTATGTATCACCTGCTGTTTTGCTGATGCCTTTCATTTGTCTGATCATAATTTTTTTGATTCTGGGGAATGGGGTGGTGTGTCAGTTGATAGAGAGCCACAGAACAAGAAAGGCCCAAAATGTGCGGTGGTCATTGTTGACACATACACTCTTACTGTTGCACAAACTGTTTTTCATGGGAATTTGTCAATCGGGTCATTGAAATTTATGGCTGTAGTTTCATCAACCAAGGAAAAGGAGAAGGATTTCGTGGTTGTATCTGATTCACATGGTAGACTGCAAATGTTGACATTGGCAAATAATGTCCAAGAAGAGAGGAAGGTTGGGGGCGGGTTGCCTTCTTCTCAACAGGAAATGGCTGTTTGGGTAGGGGGGATAAGTGAAGGACAGGTTATGTCGATTGCAATCTGTGGAAATATTATTGCTTTTGTTTTAAAAAGTCACTGCATATTTAGGCTATTCGACAGTGGCACTACAGTCGGAGAGATCTCTTGTGTGGACAATTTCCTTTGTAAAGATGGTGATTCAACTCAATTACATCTTGCAGGGTGTATGTTTATGAAAAGTGAAGATTCTAGCCATATGTTAAATACGGAAGAACCCCACGAAATGCATGAAAACCTGTTTTCTGTTTGGAATAATCGAGGTGGTTTACTTGTGTACTTAATTTCGTATTTGAAAGATATTTTTACATGTAAGCTTCTGTACGAGATCCCGGTTATTTCTCAACCACATGATCTGAGACTATCCACTTCTTTCACTCAGTTGAACCGTTATATTCTTCGCGTTGAATCAGTTTGTATTAATGCTGAAGAGCCTTTACACTGGAAACCTGTTGTTACACTTTACTCACAAACTCAAAAACATGATAGCGAGGGAAACTTATGCTTCACTTTTATGATGCATGGACCGAGCTCTTCTTTTGTTCATTGGACTAGGTATTCTGATTCACTTTGTGAAACTGAAGGCCCTGCTGAAACAGAGAGTAAACTCTGTTCTGGGCAATGTTTTGTTGTAAGCACAAAACGTGTATACAATAAACATGCAGAAAATGGTAATCAGCGTGTTGTTAGCAAACATGTGTCTTCTTCAATGGTTATTGCTGAGACTTATCTTGCGCCCTATGCTATTGTATGTGGATTTGTTACTGGGGAAATAGAAGTTGTACTATTTGATTTGCTTGAAGGGCTAGGTTCTCATGGTGGAAGTCCTCACCAGGAAATAAATTCACCTTCGTCAAGACAAAAATTTTTAGGGCACACTGATGCTGTGCTTTGTTTGGCTGCTCATCATATGATTGGTTCTGCTAAAGGTTGGGGTTTCAATAAGGTTTTAGTGTCTGGAAGCATGGATTGCACAGTTCGTCTTTGGGACCTTGACAGCGGTAACATCATTACAGTTATGCACCAACATGTGGCCCCAGTGCGGCAGATAATTCTTCCTCCAGTTCGTACCGAGCATCCGTGGAGTGATTGCTTTCTTTCTGTTGGGGAGGACTTGTCTGTTACTCTTGCTTCTTTCGAGACTTTGAGAGTAGAGAGAATGTTTCCTGGACATACCAACTATCCAGCCAAAGTCGTGTGGGATGGTGCCAGAGGTTATATTGCATGCCTATGCCCAAATCAATTAGGAACTTCTGATGTGAATGATATTTTATACCTTTGGGATGTAAAATCAGGTGCACGAGAGCGGGTTATTCGTGGCACAGCATCTCATTCAATGTTTGAGCATTTTTGTAAAGGTATCAGCAAGAGTTCCAGTTCCGACACTGTACTTAATGAAAATACCTCAGTTTCCTCGTTACTTCATCTAATTGAAGATGGAAGTTCTTCCAACTCTAATGCGAATAATTTAGAGAATTCAGTCTCTTTGCCTGGTGGTTTAGTTGATCCACGCACATCCCAAGCACGTGTTATTAGTCAAAGTGACAAGTATGCTATCAAATGGTCGTGCCCTTTTCCTGGAATTGCCGCTCTTAATTTTGAAGTTTCTTCATTGTGTCATTATCAGAAGCATGATTCTATGACAAGCGATAATAACAAGCCAGGCAATAAAAAGATGAGGCAGCAGGTAACTGAGACAGTAACTCCTCACCACGACAGTCCAAAACATGATTATGATGTGGATGCTACATCAAATGATACTTCAAGTGAGCTTGAGTGGACTATGTCACCTGAAGAATGCTTAATTCGATTTAGCTTGTCTTTTTTACACTTGTGGGATGTGGATCCCGATCTTGATTACTTGCTTCTGACCGACATGAAGCTTAAGAGACCTGAAAAGTTTATTGTGGCTTCTGGTTTGCAAGGTGATAAAGGATCTTTAACGTTGACATTTCCTCATTTGAGTGCCATTCTTGAGGTATTTTAATCAAATTAAATTGGAAAGACGACATATTATTTATTCTTTGGCTCCTCTTGTGTTTTCCTAAGTCATTGAAACTGAAATTTCAGCTATGGAAATCATCATCAGAGTTTTGTGCGATGAGGTCACTAACAATGGTATCTCTTGCCCAAAGAATGATAAGCTTGTCTCATTCCACTTCATCTGCCAGCAGGTCTTTGATAGTTTTTCATGCCTATGAAATGAATACAACCTATATGCGAATTTTTAGGTAAATTAATTGCTACACATGATGTATGTACATATTATAATCCAATCAGCATGTTTTGCAGTGCTTTAGCGGCATTCTATACTAGGAACTTTGCTGACAAATTTCCAGATATAAAGCCACCGTTACTCCAGGTTTATTCTTGTGCTTTTTTGTTATTCTATGTGTGACCTTGAGTTTATAACCTCTATCCAAGTGACAAGAGGCAACGAGCTCCACATTTGTCGAACTATTTATTTATTTATTTTTTTTAAGTCGATCAATGAACTATGATAATGTTGAATGCATAAGAGTGTAGAGAAAAATATCTAATTACAAAATATACTTCTTGATTATAAAAGCTTTTAAGGTATCCTTATAAACGTTAAGTTGTGTATTAGAGGATAGTTTGAACTTTTACAGTTTGTTGATTTACAAACATTTTGCATGTTTTATGTGTTTTTTCTGCACTCTCTCCAGCTTTTGGTGAGTTTCTGGCAAGATGAAAGTGAGCACATACGTATGGCTGCACGTACTTTATTCCACTGTGCTGCTTCGCGGGCAATTCCGCTTCCCTTATGCGGGCAAAAAGCAACTAATCATGCAAAAACAAACTCTCATGTTGGGCTTGTAGAAAACGAAGAGGGAAATTCTAACGTACAACTAGAAGAAAAATTCGCCGACGTGTCTAGTGCAGACCAGCTAATTGATACACAGGGGATATGTCAGGCAGAGCAATCTAATATCGTGGCATGGCTAGAATCATTTGAAATGCAAGACTGGATTTCTTGTGTTGGTGGAACAAGCCAAGACGCAATGACGTCTCATATTATTGTAGCAGCAGCATTGGCTATTTGGTATCCTAGCCTTGTGAAGCCATGTCTTGCCACGCTGGTGGTTCATCCATTAACGAAATTAGTTATGGCTATGAATGACAAATATAGTTCCACAGCAGCTGAGCTCCTTGCTGAAGGTATGGAGAGTACATGGAAACCATGCATTGCTTCTGAAATACCTCGGTTGATTGGAGATATCTTTTTCCAAATTGAGTGTGTGAGTGGTCCATCGGCTAAATTAGCTGCTGGAAAGTCAGCCGTACCAAAGACCATCCGTGACGCTTTGGTTGGAGTTCTTCTTCCAAGTTTAGCTACGGCTGATGTGCAAGCTTTTTTGAATATTATAGACAGCCAAGTTTGGTCTACTGCATCTGATTCGCCAGTTCATCTGGTAGCCCTCAGGACTCTAATGATGGCTGTCCGTCTTTCTCCAAAAAGCCTAGCTCAATACCTTGATAAGGTTTGTACTACCAGTTTTTATGGGGCAACATTGATTCCATTCTCAATTTGAATAAGAACGTGAAAACAAGTGATTTCGTTGGAGCGCAATCATAGAAATTCCACATTTTGGAGTAGGTTAGCCATTATTATTAAATTATCTTCTGCTACATTGTATAGATGACTCATTCCCATAGATTGGCATACAGAGAGATTCTGTTTTCTTTGTTACCGGTTTTGTGTATTATTATAAAAACAATAAATATAATTCAGAATCCTGCATCATTAGATGAATTTCTGCAGCCATTCATTAAAGTAGCACTTTAAAATTTTATATGCATAGCAGATATATGCTCATATATTTTTCAACATTGATCTCAAGTACCAAAGCATTCTTTTTATTTGGGAACCTGAACATGCTTTTCTTGGAGCTTGATTCCATTTTCTACAAGAAATACAGTTTGAAATTAACAAGAAGAGGGGGAAGGGATGATTGAGGGATCTGCATAACTCTTAGGTATTCTTAACATTTAGACTCCGTTCATTTCACCGATTCGAGTTTAGAATTCGAGTTTTGCTACAGTAAAAAGCTCTCAGAAACAGTCACATCTAACTTTTTTACTACAGTAAAAAACTCTAACATAAAGTCACAATTCAACTCGAATTAAAAACTCGAATCAGCGAACTAAACGGACCCTTAGTGTTTACTAGTTAAATTTTGTCCTCGACATAAAATTATGAAATAATATTTTTTATCTGCATTTCCAAATTTAATTTTCTATCTTAATCTTTCTATTTTACTTTATTTAGTTACATTGCTAGCTCCATATTTTCAGGTCAGGCAATTTTGATATAGCTCAGCAATAAAAGAACTTAGCTATTTCTTGTAGATTTCATAGGATAACTTTTTATGTCTATTTCTGCTAAAGCACATTTTACTTCCAGAAGTTGAGGTTGAACTTCTCAATGTGAAGCTTTATATGACATTTGGACAGATGTGCAGGTTGTGGGCTTTATCTTACAAACAATGGACCCTAGTAACTCGGTGATGCGCAAAACTTGCTTTCAAAGTTCAATGACTGCACTAAAGGAAGTTGTACATGCATTCCCAATGGTAGCCATAAATGACTCGTGGACTAGATTGGCTGTTGGTGATATGTTTGGAGAGATAAAAAGTGCTAGCATTTGTGTCTATGACTTGCAGAGGTATTGAAAAAAACCTTAAAATCTTTTTACCTTCTTACTTTTAAGTAGGTTGGGAAAGTGAATGGGCTGGTATTTTGGTCAACAAATCAGAGATTTCATTCCAGTATTAGAATATATTTCTATATTGGTGTTACAATTCACCAACTTAAAGATTTTGCACGCTTAACATCCATTCTTATTTCTATTCCTACAGTGCCTCCTTTAATGCAGAAAAATTTAAAATAAATAAATGAGAGAGAATACACTGTATCCTTGTTAGTGAGTTGACATGAAACTATATCAGAATGTTGTAAGGGCCGGAATTTAAACCCCCAGACCTAAACAATGAAGACAGACGCCCTTACCACTGGGCTGCAAATAATTGACATGAAACTATTTGAATTCTATAATCAATGGTAAATACCCGAAAGACAATCTTAATTTCAGTAATCTCATTGCGCCTTTGATCAGGAGCGTCTTCTTCATAAACCTTGCATACATTTCACGTTGACAAATTCAAAGATTTGAGCAAACTTTATCTCGTTATTTATCAATAAAATTAGTCTTTGTGGGCCAACTGACCTTTTCAATTTGTGTGTCTTTTATCTTACATTATAGTGTGACGAAGATAAAGGTTCTTGATGCAAGTGCACCTCCTGGACTTCCAACTTTGCTTGCTGCAGCATCAGAAACAGCGGTAGCTACTGCCATTTCGGCCTTGAGCTTTTCCCCTGATGGAGAGGTATAGCTCGTTAGAAGCCATAAAGATGAACTTCAGTGTCATACTGTCAAATTTGTAAAACCCTTCAGCTTGTTTGTTAATGGATTAGAGGAATGAATTTCTAAACTTGAGTGTATTTTCCTACTATGCAGGGGCTTGTGGCTTTTTCTGAGAATGGGCTTATGATCAGATGGTGGTCTCTGGGATCAGTTTGGTGGGAGAAACTGACTCGAAACTTCGTCCCTGTTCACTGTACCAAACTGATCTTTGTTCCACCATGGGAGGGATTCTCACCAAATTCTTCAAGAGCAAGCATTATGGGGAGCATAATGGGACATGATAAACAAGTCAATTTTCAGGTAGTTTTCCGGTTTTAACTCTTAAAGTACTATTAGGGTTTAGGGTACAATAATACTACTGGTTAGCCCTAATGATAGGTTGCCATCAATATGAGTGCTGCTGGTACAGATAGGTATATCTTTGTCTAATAGTATTACTTCATAGTGCTATTATGCTTCATTTCTGAAGACTATAGTAAATGTCCACTTCTGCTAACCAAAGATGAAAGGCTCCAAACAACCTTTTGCAAAACCAACGACTATAATTTCTCTTTGCAGGACAATCTGAAGGTTTCCAGTCATCCGGACAGCTTGAAACTGTTGATTCACAATATCGACCTCTCTTACCGGCTAGAATGGGTGGGCGACCGGAAAGTACTTCTTACCAGACATGGACATGAATTGGGCACTTACCCGTTGTAATCATTTTCTGGTGGTGATGAAGGTCTCCTATAGTTTCAAAGTTGGGTGGCCATTGCTTCAACCAGAAGCAAATTCTTTTAGGCAGAACAGAGTCTTTCGATTTATACTCAACATAGGACCTGATATTTCTTACTACTGAAGCCTTTGGCCTTCATTTTTGTATTTCTTAGGCAATATTCCTCATTTATCAGATGGGGAAGTCTTTGTAGCATCAGTAGATTCAACTAAAAACTGATATTATTCATTTGTTTATTTGATTTCCCGGGTTGTGTAAGAATGGAAATGGGAATTATGTAAGGATATACAGTTTAATGTACAGACATAAAAGTAATGAAATTACACATCATGTTATACGAGTGCAATTGATCTTACAGCTGTTTTTATTTTACTTGGCTCAGTTAAGACGACAAACATTAACTGAGAGAAAATTGGTGCACTTTAAAAGTTTGGATTCCTGCACTTTAATGAGTATTTGTCTCATTTGGTTTAAAACAAAGTAATATTGATGCACTAATAGTTTTATGTCTACTTTGGTTTTTATTATCATCGTCGATTTTTATTTTTTATTTTTTTTAACTGTTGGGGATTTTCATGTTTATTGTTGTTTTCTTTACTTAAAAAAAGAAAAATTGCCGCATTAAGGCTCTTGTTGGTTTTAGTTGTCATCTATTATGTTAGTGTTATTTTTTTATGGTTCTTATTTATTTTCAAGTTAGGTGTCGCTTATTATTTGTCATCGTTTTCAAGGTCTATTTAAGGGATATTTGTTTCTTGTATTCGTCCCTGATTCTAAATCATAATTTATGATTTTCTACAGTGTTTTTCTCTCACAAAAAACACATGTAAAATGAGAATGATTTTGAATTATGATTCTGAATCTATGAACCAAACGTTCCCTTATTTTTGTCTCAAGAAAAATGCTAGCGACTCTTTCTGTCACTCTATTTATCACTTTTTGTATTTACTGTTTGATACATCGATTCTATTAATATGATATATCACTACTTTTCGTTTTCAATGTTCATTATTGTCGTTTTCTCACTCTCACTTCCATACTTGATGTCTCTTTTTGCGTTCATTTTTGTTTTTTTATTTAGGTTGTTCTGGCTGTTCCTTTCTTATTATTTTCTCGTTCTATGGTCTCTCTCCCTCCTGTTGTTGTCTGTGATCATTGTCGCTTTCCTTTGTTGTGCCGTTTTGTCTTAATTGTGTACTTGTTTTTTCACTGTCGTCGTTTTTTTATCTGTCGTTTTTAGATTATTTCTGTCTTGTAGTTTTCACCTTGAAATCACGTCGTTTTGATGCCCTCCTCCATGCCTCCCTCATCGCCTGACGCCTATGCTTCGGCCGCAGCAGTACGTGCGGTCAAGGTCAGGATGGACATTTTCTTCTCCTTTATTGGGTGAGAACAAAAGGAAATAAAATGAAAACTAAAGCGGTTTTAGACAAAATATCATGAGATAAAGGAAGATTATTGTTTAAGAACAATTCTCTCATAATTAATATGTGCACTGGTTCAAGCTAGCTTTTTCTCTCATTCATGACATGAAAGTCATCGACGTGATCTTTCTCTATATTCTTGAAAGGAATTGCAACTGTTTAAGAAGTGGGCCCAAGCTCTCCATCAACTTTTCACAATGATGATTATGGACACCTTCATACGTAGTCACCACAATTCTGGAATCCCTTGAGAGCCGTTGGATCTGCTTCTTCACTCTGCATGTATGATGGGAGCAACGGTAGTAGCTCCTAGTTTTCATTTTTCCGCACAAAATATCAAATAGTAAGAATATTATGCCATTGGATTAATGAATTATTGCTTAAAAGAATTATCATGATTAACTCACGACTAAAATATTGAAAAAGGATGCTCATACTAATGTGATTTTTTTTTTTTTTTTTTTTTTTTTATGTCGTGTCTTTGTTGGAACTTAGGATGCACACAGCACACATATCTAATGACATTTTCAAACCGTCATATGTCTCAGAAATACAAACGACTTCAAAGCTAATGACACTTTTACAGCGCTGTTAAAAGTTTTAACGTCGATTAATAAATTTCTTCTAATGTGAATTTTAGTCAAAGTCCTTCCCTATTTTTTTTCCCCACTTTAAGAACTACAATAAAAATGAAAATGGGGCACAGAAACAAGAAGCTTAGAAACTTACTAAACATTCAAAAATGAATAAAACGCATGCATTTGCCTTTCAATAAAGGTTTTCAGTGAAAAAGAAACGAATATGTTAATTAAAAGATTAAGATCAGTTATAATACATATTCACATGCATATGCGTGTGTTATAGATATATATACGTACATATTATATTACATATATATATATATTTGTATGTGTGTGTATGTATATATGTATAGCACCTGGGATGAGGGTTGTTCTTCACCGTCTTCTGCCCGTACTTTCGCCACCTATATCCATCATCTAGAACATCATCATCACTTCTAGTATGAAACGCGATCCTTTGAGGAATGGCCTTCTTCTTCCTAAAAACTTTTGCTTTGTTTTCACCACTAGTACTCTTATCTCCTTCACTTGCAATATTCTTGGCCTTGGCAGACACATGACTCGCTGATGAGGCCTTGTTATGATCACAACTAATATCGGAGCCGCCGAAGAGATCGAACCAATCTAACATGTCTGGTGAAAATTGTGATGGCATTGGAAGCGAAATCGGACCATTGTTTAGAATGTCGGATAGTGGATCTAGTGAAGGGATTAATTCTTGATCCATAATTAGGGCTCTAATTATGAGAATTAATGGTTGAGATTAGTGTTAATGTTAGGACCTCCGAATTTATAAAGATTGTGGTCTTCAATGATGGGGAAGGGATAGATATGTCTGGATTTTTCTTAGAGTTACATATAAATCCTAATAATTAGCTTAAACTACATGATAAAAGCCAACTACATTTCAACTACTTCTTGCTCAACTGCATACGTAATACTTGGCATCTAAATGGCTTTAAAGTACAAAGGGGTTTCATATACTTTTGTCTTTGGTAAATCTATACAGGGGGTTTTCATTTTGTTGAGGGCTAATCCAATTATCTGGATTTTAGACCACGATCAAAAGTTGTTGTGGTAGTTTAGAATAAATTCATCAACTTATAAACTCTCAATCTTTTACCCTGTCAAGGGGTTTAATTGTGGCATTGGGACATATTTATTAATTTACTTATCTTGTTTAATATACTGACGAAACTTAACCAGTAGCATAGCTCCTTTGGCACGTAAAATTTATAATTTGTATCGTTATCCGTTAGTGTTTAGCATGTATAGCTATTTTTATTTATAGCTAGTATATATATATATATATATATCTTAAAAATCGATCGAGGGTTTACACTATTTAATACAAGTTTTTAGGACGTCCAAAAGAATGGTCTCAATATTCAATTTCTTTAATTTCTTTTTCTTTTCTAAGAGAAATTTAGACATAAAACACAATTTTACAAGTCATTTTCAAATATAACAAAAGAGAATATATATTTCATAAATAACAAAGATTATTATCCCGTTTTAATAGTTACTATGTGATTCTATAGTATCAAACATGAAAATCATTATAATTATTACCATGTAAATATGTTAATCTTAAAATATTTTTAAAAAAAATAATATTTTATTTTCACTCTTCTAAGACATATAGTGTAATTTTTACTTTAAAAAAAAAAAGAAAAAAGAATGAAAAACCAATAACTTCCCAATCGGTCATCTATTCATACCATATTCTTATCTATTGCCCTTTTGATTATAGTTCTTATTTTGCTAACCATATGACCATGCTCTCTTAGTTAACTGATAAGTGACGACACAAACTCTTAGAAGCTAGAATATCACAAGTCACGTAACTCCTTTCGCATGACACAATTATCCTTTAATGGTGTCATTTCACAACGAATTGGATTTATTCTTTCTACATTGGAGAATGTCATGTTATTCATCATCATATATCTGCACGTTTCACTTTAATGTTGGATCTTTTAAATTCATGTTCCACATTTTATAAATCATCACACTAAATTACTAAAAAAATAAGTTAGGATAAATACATGTCTCTATTGATGCAGCCTTGAATCTCCAGTAGAATTCTCTAAGACAACGAACACGACGGTTATTGCCTTCCTCAGTCAAATCTCCTTAGTTCCTTAATGGAGTGTTTTCTCTCTAGATGGTGAAGAATGAAAACTGCCGAATGATTTGACATATTGAAGACCATAACTTAAGTTTCTTTATATACTGCCCCATTAGGCTCCCATTAAACCTAATTGGGTCAATATGGGTATCCACCCATTCAGCTCATACCTTGTTAGGAGACTATTTGAGCTTTCCATAATTAGATCACTTAATTAGCTAAATTAATTAAATAGCTTAATATAATTATGGAATAAATATATGGCCCACAATATAGGAAACTCGCGTTTCTTAACAATCTCCCACTTGGGCTACATGTGATTCCTGAAATAATTATATCATACATAATTCCTTAGGCGCGCAACCGTATGCTATTTATCCTTTGTCTCCACTTAAGATACAATCTGGTTCATCTCCTATATTAGCATGAGATCATGGTGGCTTTTGTCACCCTCAAATGCAACTAAACCTCCCATGGTCACCATACCAACATATTCAATGACATATATCGAGTATGAATGAGTGGCATGAAAATACATGCAATGTGATCTCCAACATGCCTATTTCCAACTGGTCATGCTTTATTCTTTATGAAATCAATCCGTAATTTTCAAAACATAATGCAAGATTGCAAATAGAAAATTAACACATTCAGAGGGAAAATTATAAAACTATAAATCCATCTTCTTTATTCTGCAGAAAATAAATGAACAAATGTTTATGTCATAGAACATCTAAAATTAACTCCCACTAAACCATAGTATCCTCAAATAAAATAACATCCATATGAGCAGTGTGCTTGTGAAAGGCATTAGGTGTTAAGCCTTTAGTTAGCGGATCCGCAAGCATGGAGTTTGTCCCGATGTGTTCTATCCAAATCTGACCACTCTGAACTCTTTCTTTAACAACAAGAAAATTGATGTCTATATGCTTTGATTTCGTAGAGCTTCTGTTGTTATTAGAATATAGCACTGCCGATTTATTGTCACAAAAAATCTGTAGTGGCCTCTCAATACCATTAACCACACGCAGCCCCGTGACAAAGTTTTGCAGCTACATCCCATGATTAGATGCCTTATAACAGGCTATGAACTCTGCAGCCATGGTAGAAGAAGCTATGAGTGTCTACTTGACACTCTTCCAAGAAATAGCTTCTCCTACCAACATGTAACATAGCCTGACGTGGATCGCTTACTGTCTTGGCATCCAGCAAAATCAAAATCAGAATCAGAATACCCGATGATCTCTAGTCTGTCTGATCTTTGATAAGTGAGCATGTAATCCTTTGTTCTCTTCAAATAGCGCATAACCCGTTTGGCTGCTTTCCAATGATCCACTCCTAGGTTACTTAAGTATCTACCCAATACTCCTACTATAAATGCTATGTCGGGACGAGTGCAAACTTGAGCATACGTTAGACTTCCTACTATTGATGCATAAGGAATCTTTTCCATTTCCTTTATCTCAAGTTCATTCTTGGGGCACTGACTGAGACAAAACTTGTCTCCCTTAGCTACGGGCGTATCTCCTGATGAACAATTCTTCATGCCAAATCTATCAGAACCTTTTCGATATCCTTTTTGTGATAACCCAAGGATACCTTGAGAGCGATCTCGTAGTATATGAATTCCTAATACAAAAGATGCATCACCAAGATCTTTCATCTCAAAATTCTTAGTAAGAAATTTCTTGGTTTCGTGCAATAAGCCTATATTGCTGCTGGCAAGTAATATGTCATCGACATACAAAAT